TGTGGGTGAAGCAAACACACCTGTACACACATGTTTGTACATGAGTCTAATGGTGAGTGTGAGTGAGTCTGACCTGAGAGGATGGTGTAGGTGAGAGGAGCATTGATCCCTTTGTCTCCATCCTCTGCTGTGATTGGGCCAGGAGAAAAGTCCAGACCCACGTCCTGAAACAAACAAGCAAACAAAAAAAATACCTGCAGGTATGTGGACAGGTATAAAACTTGTTCCCTAAATGCTGGGACGCTAAAATCTAGATGACTTGAAAAGTATTGTTATAGTGAAAAACATCTCCAGAAACATTGAGCTGTTTTTATTGACATTTTACGGTCTGGTAATGTTTTCAGAAGCCATTTTGTAAATAATTGCATCCACCTGGTTCCTCGGGTATTTACCTGGTGTTTCTGTGTGATGTTGGCCGTGTAGGTGGGATTCATGCAGACAGGCACACCTGGAGACACAGGTGTGCAGGGCAAGAAGTGAGGATACTGGTCATCACCATCCTCGATGTTGATGGTGAGAACAGCAGATGTGTTGAACTTGTCCACAGTGTTTGATTCCTGTCAGGTATGTAGAGGTGTGACATTATTTTCACTTTTCTGTGATAATTTGACGATCAGATATCACAGGGTTTGTTTTTTTGTTGAATAGTCTTGCATTCCTGCTGGTTAGAGTGTAATGTCCTGTGATGACTTCGCAGTAAAATAAAACCTCTGACCTCACCCTGATTACCTGGATGTATCACCTGTCTAAATGTTACCTGGGCCCACATGATGAGCTGCAGGTGAGTTCTTGTCTCATAGTCCAGAGGTTTGTTCAGAACTACCTTTCCAGTATTGGGCAGGTCGATCCTGAAGAACTGGGCATCTTGCTGCAGGCAGACAGATGACAGGTGAGATAATAAAGAGCTGCAGCTCATGGTCAAGCAGCAATTGGTGGGCGTTATTCTTACTGATGACGGGTCGAGGATGTAGCTGATCACGTCCCCATCTGCATCATCGGCCTTCACAGTGAAAACCACCGAGTTCACTGCTGTCAGCTACACACAAAACAATGAAAAATCCTGTTTACACAGGTGAGGAAACATCTGAGGCACCTGTTAAAACGATGTACATGTGATGGATGCTCATTGGCTGGTTAAGATGAAGGTAATTTTTCTGGTTGTACCTCACTGATGGTGAACGGCTGAATTGTCTCCAACAGGAAGTTTGGTTTGTTGTCATTTTCATTCAGAATCTCCACCAAAATCCTGTAGTTACCCTGAAACAGGTGCAGACTCACCTGAGCGATTCTGAGTCATCAAATGTATTTACCGCTCAGCACAGGACCTCCGATGACTTACCTGTATGATGTCATTTTCATAGCAAATTAGCTCTGCGATGAGCACTGATCCCTCCACCTGACAGACAGAGATCCAGCATGAGGTGAGACATTTTAAGATGTATTTCTGCTGCAGGTGAGAGGTGTTCAAGTGTACCTCTCGGTCGAGGACTCTGAACACTGAGGAGTTGAGTCTGATGGTCCGGCCCTCTAAGTAGAACCAGTTGGCGTTGCGTCCAGACAGACACAGGCGGATGGTGTTAGCTCGTGGACCTGCAGTGATGTTGATGCTGGAGATGAATTCACCTGTTGGACTATTCTCTCTGACTGAGGTGAAGATGTCGGAGCCCTCCCGACATAGGCTCGCTGAGGATGGAGCAGAGGATATCTGATGTGTCCGTGGCAGTGAGGACGATCAATAACTGATTATGATTTTATTGATCCGGTTCTGTTGTTATTTAAAGACAAACTTCTCAGGAGTGTCTGAAAGTAGAGAGTTACTTTTTTAGTCCTGATTAGGACTTCAGGATCTGTTTATCACATCACCTTAAACCAACCTTGGATTACTAGCCACATTTAACCAAATCATGCTGCACCGTATTTACCTCACATTCCCATTATTTTACTGTTACTGCCAATTACCCAAACAAGCACGTCTTAGGACTTGGAAGGAAGCCAGGATATCCAACAGAGCCCACACAGGCACAGGTAGATCATGCTCAAAAAA